GAATAACAAGTGTAATATCCACTAAAGCAAAGCTTAAGTATATAACACCAACATGCTATACCACATTCATGGTCTTGAAAGAAAGGTACCGAACATTTAAATAATTCATAGAACATCCATTAGGTGTTTTCGACATACACACAAAGACCATCTATCTTGACGAGGACGATCGTGAGGATGCAATTGAGGTAAATTTTACAACAATTCGTTTTGCTTTTACCTTTTTTTTTTCGTTTTCTTATGTATTAGTATTTTTAAAAATTGCATTCATAAGTGTGTACAACTCATACATCATGTTTTCTTAGGAATGGGTATTAGCAGATCATTATTGGAGCAATCATGAGGCTCTTTGGGAAACCTTGAAAATAATTTTCAAACCTCTACAGCTTGACCCTTATCCCAGTGAAATTTTAGCGCGACATGAACGTAACTCTCGGAAACTCGACCAAGTGATTCAGGACTACTGGTTCGAAGAACGACGTATGGCAGCTCGATATAGAAGGAGAGGAAATTGATAGATTACGGACGCGTATGTATTTTCGAATTGTGGCAATTGTTGCATTATTATATGTATTCATAATTTCTCTTTTGTCGAAATAAGCCAATTTCATATGTATTCATAATTTATGTGTTGTCCAAATTAGCCAATTTTAAATGTAGTAAAAAAATTGGTTTTGTTACGCATGGTAACGTCCCTCCACGATTTGGGTTATTTTGTAAGGCAATTTCATATTTCCGGATAATTTCTCTTTGTCGAAATAACCCAATTTCATAGGTTTATTTGCACCTTATATAAAGTACATCATACGTGACCGCAAGTGTGTCGGACAATGGCAAAATCAAGTAATAAATAAAATGAGTACTGACAAATATGTAATTATTGATTATGTGAGTTAGTAAAAAAAAATTAAAAATAAAATACAATAATATAAAAGCTACGATTTTCTTTTTTCTTTTTTAATATTCAATTTTAAGTAGGAAACAAGAGGCATACTTGTGTCAAAGGTTGCCAAACACGATTAAAAGGCATAGTTGTCTTGAAAATTTGGAATACAATAGTAATAAATAAAACATAATAGCAACTAACGACGTCTGCCACCTTGATCGGCCCATAAGGCAGCAACAATCGAATCGTGCAAAGCACTCTGTTCACATACACCAACATTAGAGGTATCTAAAGTTGTCATCAAAGGCATTGTATGATCATCTTCATCTGGTTCTGGTATGTAATTCGGGTCTTGTATGGCCGGCGGTACGTTCTCGAACTTTTGGTGCTCGAGGATGAAATTGTGTACAACACAACATGCGATAACTATGTCTGTCTGGAACTCATGCGTGTAGTTCGACATTAGACCTTTTATAATGGGGAACTTACCTTTCAATATACCAAAGCTACGTTCAACCACATTCCGGACAGTGGCATGGCGTCGGTTAAATAGCTCTCTCGCATTTTTAGGTGTTTGGTTAGAGCAAATCCACTCCGGGAGATGATACCTATCACCACGGTAAGGTGACATGAATCCCGGGACATTGGCATAGCCTGAGTCCACCACATAATATTTTCCTAAGATTGAAGGTAGTGGTGTTAATGAACCAGTAAGGTAATGTTAACTTTCATTTCCCTATCAATAAATTTTTCTTCCTATATGTCCGAAAAGAGGAAGAAAAATAAATACATACCCTCTGGTGGCCACGGGAAAGTATTTGTGGGGTCTGTCAATGTGTCAGCAAAAATACGAGCATCATTTGCGTTGTCTTCCAATCCCGCTAAAACGAAAGTGAACTTGCAATCAAAGTCGCACGCGACCACATCGATTTGGGACAAGTAACCTTTTCGACATATGTATTTCTCATGATCGTGCTCAGGTACCCAAGCCGGTAAGATGGTTCCGTCGATGGCACCAGTGCAATCCTGAGGTAAGAGAAAACATTTCATAAATTGTTCAGGTGATTCATGAAATACAATCCGATTATGCGATTTACCTTAAAGTATGGATATAGATATCAATTCTTTCGTATCCAATCAGGAACACGAGTAAAATCCGGAGGACGTATGTATTTGGGAGCCAGTGTGCAAAGGGCAGTGATCAAGACATGTACATGATTACTAATCGTATCTGTAGATTGTCAAAATGTCTCTGCAACTTTTCGATGCCTTTGGTGTCCCTTTATCGTATGCAAGAACATCAAAACACTTTCTTGAATGCGGACCTTTTGCTGTATTGCATCACCATGGCAACCCGTCTGTTTTATTTCTTTGCAGAGTGTTTGTTCTATTTTTGTTACATTTTTAGTTGTTATTTTATTATTCTTTTACCCCCATTTTGAGTCATTTAGTTGGTTTTAGGGTTGTTTTATCGTTATTTGTGTGTTTTGCATTATTTTAAGTATTTGGTGAATTATGTTTATTTTCTTGTATTTTTCGTTCGTGTTTTAGTTTTTGGTGTGTAGGTTGGAAGTCTCGGGAGAACAGGTTTTTGGGAAATTTGTAGGAAAGCTTGCGCCATTTGATAGAAGGGTTCGTTAACGATGCGTAGGAAAAAACAGAACTAAATTCCGAGTTAAAACGAGTCCGAACGAGCGAAAATAGTGGAGACGTGTAGCTGTCGACACCTTAGCGCGGCTAGTGCCCCTTAGCGGCGCTAAGGGGTCGATTTCTGCAGCTGTTATGTTGAAGATAATGGCATGTTGGTGGTATGTTATGTTATGATGATTCATGATAATTATAGCTAATTTATAGCTATAAAAGACTCCAAATTCTCAGCTATAAATAGATGTAATCAAGCTTGTAAATAGAGAACAAGGTTATAATTTCAAGACTTGTAAATAGTTTCTTTTCCTCTCTTCTCTTCTTCTTCATCATTTACAAGAATGGCTTCTCATTTGCATGATCTTGTAAGTGATTTTTCTTTAGTTAGTTGAAGTTCTAGTGCTATATTGACGTCAAGTTTTCAATAGTAATCGTAAGTTATCGTAACTTATTATAAGTACGACGATAGCTTGGGTTATTATTGTTGATTATGTCGATAAAATCACTATGAACTAACTTATCATAATAGGATATGGAAATGATTGTTTCAGTTCGATGATGATGACGTGTTGTTGATTGTTAAATCGTTTCGAGTTGTGTTTATTTTTATAGTTTAGTTGATTAAACACCTTCTAAATCTACTTAATTGATTTTTAAACCGAGAGGGACAAAGTTGATTGATCTCGGCTCAAAACGAGTAAGCTTGTTCGTAACTGTATTGCTTATGTGTTATTTGATACGTGTTATCATCCAACTCGGCAAGACGCTGTTAAGAGATTTTGAGCATCTTATTAAGCGCAATTAACCATTAAACCGACATGAATCATAACCGCATCGATCTACACCAAAGAACCGGTCTGAACCACCAAAGACCGAAGTGACCGACGATTACCGAGGTCAACACCCACCGAGGACAACATGAACCGAGGTCGTCACCTCCTTAAGCAGGTGACAAGGCACCTACGAGAAGCTCTCCTACACCACAAAATCTGTCATCATTTGCGTGGGGCCCCCTGCCTCGAACCGCCCATAAAAAGCCACTTTATTCAAAAAGTAGTACGCGGATCCCGATGCCTCTACCTAAACCTACTATAAATAGCAGACCTATGGCAATTGTAAAGGGATCTCTGTTCGCTCAAAATTTCCGAACTGTAAACACTTTACTAAGCAACACGTAAAAGCCCATCACGGCTCTTCACCTCGGTTCACCTCGGACCGGGGCCATCGTTGATTCAACTTTACATGCTTTACGTTCAAATTATTCCAAATTACTCACTTAATCATAACTTATATCGTTGTTAACAATCACATAACAACAGTTTGGCGCTAGACGGAGGGGCCTCATAAGTGATTTGAGGTTAATCTCCGCATTTTTACGTAACCGTGCACACCAACTACATCCACCATGTCTCACTCAGATCATCGTGGTCACACATCACGAGACGGCCACAGTCGCAGCGCCGGGCAATCCGCTAGACGGCAAGCCGTGGTTCCACCTGTGCCGGATTATGCTGTCCTGTTTCAGAACCCGGAATTTGCACGCGGTTTTGCCGCTTTAATGGCCCAGACGATGCCGGGAACATCGACAACAGTTCCGGGACACTCCATCATTCCCACGACTCCCGCAAACCGACAAAACCATCCGGCACGACAAGACGGTGGAAGGACAACGTCCCATGCCACATCTCAACCTCGTGATCGAATGTCACAACCGCCACCGGAACAAAATACACGACGCACTGACGCCGGACGTAATCATCCCATACTTCCCCAAGAGGAAACTGCTGAAAGTCAGTCGGGTCGTTTACGACGGATACCGCCTCGCGAGCAGCACCCGCATCCTTCCAATCCGGCGCAAACCGACCTCCGAC